ATATATAAACTATTTAGTAAAATTAAGTTGTAATACTTTAGTTTAAGTAAAACAAATTCTCAAATTTCAGTTTTCATTTACATTCTTGACGTGAGCTAATTTGTGTAGATTAGTGTAGATTAACTAAACTAAAAGTCTTCTAATATCAAATCATATAGGCCAATTCACGATATTTGGGCCTTGAATAGAGTTACAAATTTGGTTCAAACAGTGTACAAACTCCTTATTTGGCTTATTTTAATTGGTTTGATGAATTATTAGGGTAATTGTTTTGATTTATTAAGGGTTTATTCTGTACTATTATGCAATGAAGATATAATGAACTTGTATCAAACCTATTAGATTATCTTCAAACCTATTAGATTATTAACCAAACCAATTGTCTGAGATATGCTATTTGAAATAGATTATTGTTTAATCCATTTGTCTGAGCCTACTGAGACATGTTATTTGATATTGATTTTATTTGTAACAGTTGATCTTCAATCAATATGTCTAAAGTAATCAAATAATTGAATTCATGGTATTCATAAATAAAATTTTTTATTAACCATCTCAAAAGCAGCAATAAATAGATATAAATAGTAATAAATAGTTAGATATTTAAAAAACAGCTTTGTTTAATAATATGTTTATTATCTACTTCTCAAAATTTAACTTCTAAACCTTCTATCTCTTTTGTTTTATATTCTGTCTGTTTTTGAAATTACAAATCAGAAAATGGATACAGACAACATTGTAATACTATTAAAAAATATAACATACCACATAGCAATCTCGATGAAATTCTAGTTAGAACATTGCACAAATTTAAGAATATTTTAATTCAACAAATATATCACCAATTGTTATTAAGTTTTACCAAAATGGAAAAAAAAGTGTTAATAGTTCTGTGTACTGAAAGTCTATTTGTTGCTGTTTTTGAGACCACGTTTATCAATTTTCAAATAATCTATGAATATACAAATGCAGATTTCATAGAGAGTCTGCATATTCAACTTTAGTACAAATTTTGAAAGATCCTAAATGGGGTCAAAAAAATTATAATCAAAATTTACAAATATACTTCATTTTAGAACTGTTGAATCATATATTTTATTCTAATATTAACAATAATCAAAATAATAACATTAACCCTCTGGTGCAATTAAATAATCAAAAAAAAAGAAAGTCTAAATTTTTCCGTAATGAGCTTTTGTTAAAATAGAAAAAAAAATTATTAAAGAACTAGATAGACATACTTGTATAGCAGAATTTGTGTACTTATCTTTTTATATTTTACAAAGATATGCATATACTTAATAAGTAATCTTACTGTATTTTTCAAATCACTGTAATCAGCAAATTTTATTTTTAGAATATTGTTATTTGGTGGCGATTGATAAAAAATAAGGATTTTAAAACACAAATATGCAAATAAATTAGTTTGATTAAAAATAATTTGTCAGATTTTGCTTCAGATCCATATTTATATTCAATCAATTAATGAGTTAAAAGTGTTTGGGAATAAAATTTTATTTAGCAAAAAACATTTAAGTGTGTTTATCATTATAATTAATATATGTAACTTAATAAAGTTTATTATATAAACAAACTATTTTTTATTAGTAAAGCATATTAAATGATTTTTTATTCCAATAAACAAACTTTTTACAACAAACTACTTTTTTTTATACCTTTCTTGGAAAATTTTACAATCAATAGAGTATTCAAAGAGATTGTTCAAACAACTTTGCCATGGATCATCATTTTTGACGTCAACAAATTATTATTTTACTTCTCGTATTAAAAGTTTTTGTAGAAAAATAAAAAAATTGGGAAGCCCAATAAACAATAACAACTTACCATCTCTTGGTTTTTGCTCAAATGGTGACAAATTTAACTATCTATTACTTTCTGTTGGATAGATGTCTTTTTGTTTTTTTATTTTTTATTTTTTTGCCGATAATATTTGACAAATAATAGAAGAATTAATAGAGGATTGCTCAAGTATTGACTGCAATATTTATTTTGATTGTAATAAATAAGCACTTGTATGATCATTTATTAATTGAGAAGATTTCAATTAACCCAAGTAGAAATGGACTTATATGAACATTAAGTAAAAATTTTATTACAATAATATTATACAATTTTATTTAATACAAAGTTTTTTAGTTTTGTGTTGCACTAAAATATCATTATATGTATAAAAAAGATTTTATAACTCATATTCTAAAATTTCTATTATAGCTGCATTTTGAGGATCACTACCAATTAGAATAGTCTTTTGAAAAAAATAAGATATATGCATATGATTTTTTTTTCAACCATATTGCAAGAAAATGCTTTTATTCTCTACTGCTTATGTTTTTAATATAGCTCCCACCCGTGAAATACTAAGAAATAAATATAGAGTATTATATGAACTGGCAAATAAAGGCCTTTGATGATATTGCAAGGATCTTTTAAATCTTTCTCATCAGGTTTTAAAAAAAGTTTCAACTATTTAAGTAACAAATACTTTATATATAAGGGATCACTATTTTAATCACATATTACTTTATACAGTACAGGATAATAAAAGACATCCAATCTATATATAGAAGCACCAATTTTTGATACTTATATATTCAATTCTGATTGGCTAATTTTTGTGTAATTGATTCTGATTGGTTAAAATTATATATATATTTTCTTTTTTTCTATATTTAACGCCAATTTTTTAAACTCATATAAACTTTAATCCTTTATAACTTTTTCAAAACAAAGAATAAAAAAAAATCCTCTGAAAAAAATGTAGTTTATTTAAAAATCTATCAATTTGTTAGAGGGTTTTTTGATTTAGCTTGTTTTCAAAAAGTTATAACACTTTAAAGTTTTTACTAATAAATATTGGATGTGTTTTACTGTCTGGTACTGTACAAATCGACAAATTTGTCCCACAAAGATTGAATTAACTTGGTCTGACTTGGATGAAAAAGGATATTTAGATTAAAGTGTTATAACACTTTAATTTTGTCACTACTACTTAATGATGTATTTTTCTATGTGCTGAATTCTTCCCAAAATTAGAATTTAATATTAAGCTAATTCATCTCATTTATAATAATTTGGTAACTAATATCATTAAATAAATTTTATTCTTTAATTTCTGATAATATTAATGACCAGAGTCAATCCTCAATTTACAGCAAAATATACAACTCATCAAATATGTAATTAGATAAAAGAATCATATCGAATAATAGTAGTTTAATATAGCCCAGAATATTATGGTAGTTATTCTTTAGATTATCTATTGACTTTGTTATTCTCCAATATTGCATTACATCTCTAATTTCCTGCTTAAAGCAGAGACACCAAGCACAAAAATATTTGGAATTTGTGGTATTTAATCTGAGACAAATTGACAAAAACTTCTAATCACTACTGAAATATAGCTTAAACTGCTATAAGATATTTGCGACCTCTAATCTATTATCCTTAAGGTCTTTAAGATCATTAAAAAATGGTCTTAATATGAATTCAAGAAATTCATACTTTTCAACTCCTAGATATAAAGCAACAGTATGATGATAGCTAAGTTTATAGCAATTTTTTTGATTATTAAGAATTATAAATATAATCATAATATGCTTGACTTTTTATTCAACATTTTGACCATTACTGAAAACTCACAAATAGATTATTGGATCATTAACTGATAATATATTTTCATACAACAAATAAGGAATTATATATCTGAGTATTCCTTTACAATCATGTTGCCCACCTATATCTATAAAATTCATAATATTATTAATTATTTCAGAATCTAAATTATTAGATTCATTATCTATATCATCAAACTCTTTATCTATATTATCAGATTTAATATCTTTTATTGTTGTATTCATATTAATATGTTTAATAGAAATGTCTTTAGACATTTTTCGGGTTAGATCATTTTGTTCATTTGCAATAACATATACATATGGTAGTTGATGATGTGTTGCCATCAAATTTCGATAAGTATCTTGTGAAATGATATACAATAAATTATTGGCACAATCGAAAGACAAAAGTAACATCTAATACAGTAAGTTATTATCTTTATTGGAATGATACGAAAGGTTTGAACATATGATAAATATTGCATATCTGATATAATGGTATATGCATGTATTAAAAAAACTTCAAACTATATATTTTACTTTTTTATTTATATTTATATTGTCTTTATTCTGAATTAGTATTAGACTATATATTAAATCTTAAAGTTTCAAATTTCAATCATCATAGAGAAATTTGAGTATACGATAGCAGCTATTAATAATAATCACTATTGATTATAAGTTTGATAGTACCACTTTTTAATTTTTTTTTTTGCTTCCCTAAAAACAAAAGAAAAATTTAGCATGCATAATCACTTTTAAAAGAAAAATAATAATAGATATGTAATACTTTCAATTTTAAACACTATTTAACAATGCAGAGAGTATCATTTAAATTTCTAATATTAAGAATTAAGTCACTAACAAAAGAAAAATCAGTACGTATAATCACTTTTAAGAGAAAAATAATGATAGATACGTAGTGCTTTCAATTTTAAACACTATTTGACAATACAGAGGGTATCATTTAAATATTTAATATATATTAAGAATTAAGTTGCTAACCAAATTAAATATTTAAGCAATTGAATATGCATCATTAAAAATTCTACTAGAGAAAAGTTTGAATACGTAATAAAGTATTCAGCTATTTCTAATATCTAAAATAGAGCTATTTTTAGCAAATTGCTAGAAATAGCTAGCTATATTGTTTTTGTACTAAGGTGCGAATTTTGCTATTTTCTTTTGTCCGTAAACAATTAGAAACTTTTGAATCTATAGATATATCAGCCAGATTCAAAGTAGAGCTAAACTGAGAAATCTTAAATACATCATATTAAAATTTTATCAATTGATAAGATAATTAAATACTTATATATATCAAGAAAGATTCTTTAAACAAAAGGTAGCAGCACAGTAAATAACTACTATTCACTATATTCTCGTGATTGCTAATTTGTTATTTTTGCTATTTTGCTAGTTATTTTTACTAGCTATTTCGACTATTAATAGCTGAATACTCTGGTATAATTAAAAAACAAAAGTGATATTTTACTAATACAATCAATAATTAACTTTACAGAAGTAATATAACAAATTAATATTGG